AACCAGAAAATCCGTTCATTATTTGTTGTACGCTATAACCAGATACATTTTTCATGTTAGGATTTTTGTCCTTCTTAGAACCTCACACCGAGTTTTGCGTCAAGGGCGATATAGGGAGTGTGGGTCCGTGTGTTTCTGAACTGACCAAAACCAATAAGGGTGTAGCGGCTGTAGTCAACCAGACTTGAAGTTTAGAGAACGCAGTTTAGCAGCAATGAAAAAGAGGACGACAATACCATAAGTGTTCAGCCTCACAAATGTTTTCCTTTTACTTGAGATTATCACTTAGCAACAGAAAACTTTGCCTCAGTCCCCACAAGAGGTATATATCTAACAGCTTTGCTGCATTTACCCTCAAATTTCGCACGTTTCTATTTTATAAAATTTCACCTTGAAGAGGTGTGTTATTTATACCCGCACGATTCCTTCTTCATAAAGAGCAAGCTGTATTCCACCACAATGTTTAAACAGCTAAGGAGAACGTTTTGTCCGCTTGGTTTTAGTCTACTGCTTGAGACGAATACTAAGTAAGTAAATTGGGTCTAACTAAATTAGCGCCATCTCTCCACCAGTGACTGATGCTATGTCGCTTTGAAAACTTAACTGTCCTCCACCTGCTTTTTTGAAAATTTCCGTCGAAAAAGATTGGCAAAGCAGTGAGTTTCGTTCAGATTTTACGGCCTTTCTTATTTAAACTCGAGCTTGAAAAGAGTGTATTTTCCAAGTAAAAGTTTAATTTCATGTAATTGATGGTGCTTTTATTACCTTTCATTTGCTGTTGCGCATTTCACAAAACCACATTTCCAAGATTAGTAATCATAACATCAAAATTTTTGCATTTTTTCTCCCGATTCTCCGCTGACTTAGAGTACCGACTCCTTTCTGAATGCGACACTCTCAAGTGAAAGTGATAAAAAAGACGGATTTCGACAATGGTGGAATAAGAATCCGGTTACGAGAAGAAAGTTATCCAAGTTTTAGACACTTCATAATTATTCTACGTTACACACGCACAACAAGAACACCAAGTAATGAGGCCTCGTACGCTTATCCGTTCAGAAATGTGGCACTTTGCCTCCAAATGTGTCTAAACACGGCAAATTCGACCCGTGCACTGCCTTCATATTTGACAATTCTCGTTGCTTGCTCAATTTTTATGACAACGTAAAACATTCCATAGCATTAGGTGTTAATTCTCAAACTGAGTGAAACAGTATTTTCTGAAGTGCAACCCTGCGCTTAGACCCTGCCAACAGAATGCGGAATATGCAATCACTTTGCCCGTTACGTGCGATTTTTTCATCGTAGAAGGTGAAAAGGTTGGTTGCGTTCCCCATGAGCTTCACATCAGCGATCGTATAGGACTTCTTATGGATCCATTAAGCTGCAGTAACCATCCTGATACTTAGACTCAAAGCACTGCATTACCGCTTTACTCTCCCCGCAAAAGGTGCCTTCTTTGGTTTTAGAATCATCTCAGTCCGCCATACAGCCTAGTTTTTGTTAAGTATATGATACACAGTGCTTCATTGTTATCTTAGCCGAGCATTTCTCGGAACCCAAACCAAATGAAAGGTTGCTGAACAGCGTTAGTAGACAAGTTTCCTTTTGGCCCGTTAGTATTATTAGTCATGTGTCGCAAATTGGTTAAATTGAAGCAACTTCGTAGTAGTAAGCTGCATGAGTTAGAACAATATGAATCAGGTTACTTTGAAACTTCACAGGATGGAGGTTTTTCCTTCTGCGTGGTATGTTCTTCTTTTGAATACGCTTGTCCTAATTGTCACAAAAATTCCAATGAAATTGTCAAGTAGTCTACAAGTTGTTGCTCCCAGTTTGATTCGCCTTCGGTATTGTACATTATTCCGCTTAAAATAATGCATTCACGAGTTAAAGCGAGTATTTTTTTCTTAGCCGAGCATTTCTCGGAACCCAAACCAAATGAAAGGTTGCTGAACAGCGTTAGTAGACAAGTTTCCTTTTGGCCCGTTAGTATTATTAGTCATGTGTCGCAAATTGGTTAAATTGAAGCAACTTCGTAGTAGTAAGCTGCATGAGTTAGAACAATATGAATCAGGTTACTTTGAAACTTCACAGGATGGAGGTTTTTCCTTCTGCGTGGTATGTTCTTCTTTTGAATACGCTTGTCCTAATTGTCACAAAAATTCCAATGAAATTGTCAAGTAGTCTACAAGTTGTTGCTCCCAGTTTGATTCGCCTTCGGTATTGTACATTATTCCGCTTAAAATAATGCATTCACGAGTTAAAGCGAGTTATTTTTTTCAACACCCAATTATGCATATTCGGTCAAAAAATTCAAACACACTGAAGCATGTTCTTTGCACAAATTACTTTTTAAAATTATGGCACGCAACTTTTGTCTTTTTCCAATTGTTGTGCTGTTGTATCCCATGTTTAAAGACAACAAACGAATAGGTGACTACAGATCATTAGAAAAGAATTTCTATTACAGTCTTATTTTGCGTCAAACGTGGTACTGATAAATTGGGTTGTCAAAAAATAGATATCGGCCGAGGAATACTTTTACAATGGAAACGGAGCTTAACAACTATTCCCGTGCCATCCATAATGTTCTCATGCTCAATGATAAGTTATTGGCGGGAACAAGATAAAGCTACTCAGTATGTCAACATTGTATTTTTCGTACATGAAAACAACCTCCCTATTGGTCGGCGATTGACAGAATTTAACACAAGTAATCGCGCTATGTATGGAATACCTCTTACATAAAAACCCTGCATAAAATTCCTGCAGACCGATTTTCAGTGCGCTACTGTTACGCAATTCATGAAATGTCTAATCTTGTTTTACATTATTTTCAAATCCAGTTTCAAATGAGATTTAACTGATTAAATTTAGTATCCATCGGGAGGAAATTGGTTTTACCTCTGTTTATATGTTAGTATTTCGAATGATTACATCAAGTAAGTTAAATGAGTTTACACTTTTCTGCACTTGTTCAGTCTTCTGATAAAGTGGGACCAGAACAGCTGTCAATAGTTGGGCATATTCTAAATTTGGGTTAACGCAATCCTGAAGAACATCTGCGATAATAAGCCCGCGTAATACTCTTCAACATAGGGTGACTGCCTTTTTATATATATGGTTTCTATTCATTAGTGTCTATTAGATCGAGAAACAAATATAAGCACCGGCAGCAGTAATCAAGTTGTCTCAAGTTGTCAAAACTACATCTGGCGTCATCAAGGTTGTATATATGACCAATGTTATTCCGCACTCATTAAACTAATCAACTTAGCGGCATTTTCATTTTATCGTTTCTGGAGAACCACCCTGCATGGGAGTTCCATTAACCCTTTCAGCACATATGATCTTGCAGAATGAAAACAAGTATGATATTCTTGGCCGTAGATTGCTCTAGGACAGTAAAATTCGTAGTACTCTCCTTTTATTTTGTTCCCCTTATAAAATTACTCTGGTGTTCTACAGGTTTGGAAGCCTGCAGCCAGAGTTTTGCCCTAATCGGAACTAAGTAACTGTATATAATTCTGACCGTTGTTGAGATCTAGATCACCCTTGATGGATGCGCGCCATTCCGGCTGTTAAACATATAGTTGTGAGATAACTAATTCATCAAGACAATGCGGAGTTATCTTTTATTGGGAAAGTTTCTGATGTTACAAATGTTTTGCAAGTTATTGATTAGGAGCCTTGCTCGTCTTGCCGCACTGTCCAATGTGACAAACAATTACTGCAGCCAAAAGTGATTCCAGTTAGATTCTATGATTCATTCGTTTGCAAATGGTTAAGTTGAACTCGAAAGTATTACCATCTCGGTTTTGTTAGAATTCAACAGAGCAGGTGAGTTAATTGTACGCGTGAGTTTCTTCTGCATAACTGAATATATGTATTTTGAAACACGAGTCGGACAAAGAGAGGAGTCAGCTGATTTTACAAAAAATGTCAATTGTGGTACTCCTTGATTTTGAAATCTGGTGCATATTTTCGTCCCTCAAAAGACTATCGTGATTCGGCAGTAAACCAATGGTCACCTTGTGTATAATCGTCCTCTAATGGCCAGATATTCGAACTTCTTAAATACAGTTCTTCTTTCTGATAAGCAAAGATACGTCCGCAAATAGTATTTTTGCAGCGCAACCGCTGTAATAAAACGATTCAGCAATTTGTCTAAATGTGCACGAATTTATTGAATTTTAATAGTTGTCCATCTTATTGCTTCAGGTGCGAAATGATTTTGGATTTAATGCCTTGTAAACTGAGCAGTGAATATAGGAAGCGTTCGGCTACCTACCGGCATTCCACCGGTTAATGAAGTAATGGCAGCAAAACAACAGGAACATGTGATATAGGAAAGAGTCTTTGATTTCAGATAATACCTGCAATTGTTGGGAGAACAAATGTAAAATGGACAGAGATTACATGCATTTGAAGACGAATCACTCGGAAGTGTGGCATTTTCTCACTATCACCGTATACCTATTTTACTGACAAAAATTAGTGAACGAACCACACTTGGTTTACTGCGGTTAACTGTCAGTTAAACTGACAGTCAGCAACGACTTACTTCGAGAATCCAAAGTTTCCTACTGGACTCACTAACGAATTTCAAAATTTCATACACCACCACAGCATAAAAACGGTTTTTGCAGAAAACTATTTCATGATGTTATTAGAATGATTGGTCCACAGAGCTTGTCTTATTAGGCCCAGAAGGTTATGCATTCAAATTCCTCCTGACAAACGCCTTTGTACATATATAGGTAGAACACTGGGAGCCCTACCACGGGGCTTAACTAGTAATAATGGCTGTTCACAACCTAGTTCATCAGGTTGACCAGCTACAAGCCATCTTGCCACTTCGCTTTATTGGTTAGCTCGCAGAACTTACGGTTAAGGCAAAATGTCCCACTAATCAATCCGATTCAGTTGATTCCCGAATATCTAGCACAACTGATATATAGTAATATAATCTTTCATTCCTTTTTATGTTTAAACAGAATACGAGGAGGTGCGCCAGCGTAAGTGGCGGTAACAAGTCAGCCAACTAAAATTACTGGGAAGTTTTGAACAGTAGACAAAGCAACTTCCTGATGGTTGAATGTATGATGCAAAATCAGCGGATACGTTTGCATCTGATTACAACGAGATAGTTAGGATTAAAAAATACAGGCATGATTATTGCATAGTTTTTCAATCTGAGTCACACGGATTACGTTAGGTCGGGAATCAAAGTTAATTAGCTTGCAGATTGTGCTCAAACCACTGATAGGTCGAATCTTGGACGCCCATGTTTCAGGGGCTTGAATGACACGGGGTAAACATTTTCGTCCTCCAGCGACACTGAGCCTAAAGTGAGATAAACACACAGTTGTATAATAATTCTGTGGCATTTGCAACACTTGCAGACGGTTTTTTTTCATACACCATGGAGACTGTACATAGAGCGCAATATATTCAATGAATCAAACTAGCTTGTAGGATCCTGATTTCAATATTATCAGTACGCTAAATCATAAAATATAGGTAAACATAACGTAGGTTACCACAAAGTGTAATGACTTTAAATTATCTTTTTCAGTCAGATAAGTTGAACGATTGTTCAAACCCGCACTCGAAGCAAAGAAGCAACATCGTGGATTACACACCAGTGCTAACAATATACTTTAAACTGCTTAATTTGTCTAATACTAGCTCTATCACATTGCATCGAGGATTTGACAACTTGTGCAGCCCAGGTGTCCATATACAAGTGGATACTTGCGCATCTACTGACTAAACAGTATCTCTCATTTTAGAATATTAATCCATATAAATAGTTCAGCCTATAAAACCAAGGGCTTTAGAGTTAAGTGTAAAACCATCATCATGTATACAGAAAACTTCAGTGAAAATAGAATCCTACGTCGCACGGGCTAGATGAAAGCTTTCCAAAGTGAGCGAAAAATGTGACGCCAAGTACCACCAAACCTGACCTTTAAATATTCGAATAAGCTTTGATTGAATGAAAGTATGGATGCCAGATGCCATTGGTCAATTCCGCTGTTGAAATGTTGATTCAAATGTAACGCTGATATACACAGAAGAAACACAAACTAAGAGCGAAACCCAAAGCTATTACGATGGAGATAAATGTGGAGTGATGTCCAGACGAGGCAGTTTCATTTTTATCTGAGACTGATACAGGTACCAGAGAAATGTGACAAAATAGAGAGGAGACAACAATTTCTAGTTCAACGTTTGACCATAAATCAATATGAGCTAGAGTAAATTCGAAGAATAGTGGAACATCTCACCAATCACAATAATTGGTTCAGCGTTCAACGGACGGTGACAATGTAGTGATATATTCTGGCCACCCATGTGTAAACTAGGTGACAGTTGGCAGAGTAACCATCCGGACAGGGACAGTAGAAATTTATTCTTATTACGAAAAAGTACTTTTACGGATTACATTTCCTGGTTTAACAGCAAAATACCCTAAAAGTATGCCAAAGATTATTGTCTTTAGCTCAAGATCGTCATTGAAACGCTAATATTTGTTTTATTAAGTAGGCCATTAACGTTATAAGACCTAAATCTTGCAACCTTGCGAAACCAAGATAAACTGCAGTTTTTGTGACACAAACACCATGTCAACATGACTCAATAGAGATTTCAGCTTCATCTTACACGATAAAATTTGTGGACTGGAATGAAACGAATATAATTTCACCCACAAACTCATGATAATTTCAAGTGACCTTAATGACCTTATTTGATGCAAAGTCATATGTTATTCCGCCGATAAATATAGGGTTGATAGGAAAGTAATTATACAAAAATTGGCGCAGGTGCAAGATATCAAATTAGGAAAACGAAGATATCTGATCCTTTGTGGATAAAATTAAAAATCGTAATCATTCTAGCAATGGGGTAGCGTGTACATCCCGCACTTTTACTTTATGCTTGAAGTTTTCCATGAGAAGGAAGTTAACAAAATCAGTATTTTTTCACAATAGTTGCTAACGCGTTTGAAACAGAAGGTAAGCGTCATTGGATATTAAATTAGTAGTATACAATAAAAACTGATTGAAATACTGAACCGAAACTGAAATTGCATTCCATCAGATGATTCCTGAAGAGCAACCCACAAAATTCACTGTTAATCCAGACGTGTTCCGAACGCGTTATGATAAAAAAGCTATTCAAAACGTAAAATGATATGCAGTTCTCCATCACTTCCTTAGGAAGGAGCTTCCACAGATAATTTACGCAACATTGAAAAGCCAAAAATCTTTGCTTGTAGGCACAAAATTTTGACAAGGTCTCAATCAGCTGAAACATTTTCTCATTATTAGTGAAACCATTTTATCTGAAAGGTGAGCACACAATCTACAATTCCTGGTCAGACCTATCATCAAAGTAAAACTATTCATGTTTATTTTTCAACGAGAAAAACCATCGCAATTCATCACCAGTAGTTTATTATTCTATATTTTCTTGTTTTTAAAAATACTAAGGTAATTCTTTGAATTAACAAGTTTTGAATATCGAAGAAAGCTTTTGTTTTAAAAATCTAAAACCATGTATCTCGTTTGCAAATTATTAACATCACAAAAACATTAATCATTTTGGGGTTATGTCAAGCAGACCACTGTTAATCTGCTTTCGAATCGCAATGGGCCACAGATTCTACAGGGCGGTTCAGAATACTTTTCAAGATTTAGTTTACCAAGAACCTAGCATCTTCTTAAAGTAAGACCATGTGTCATTCATGTAAGCATTTTACATCTTATTTATGGAAACTGAATAAACTAGAATACTTTTGTTTAAAGCAATTAACGCAAATGTCTGTTAAGTGGGCAAAGCCAATCTTTGATGAAAGTCTCTGCCAAACTGAGCCAATCTATGCTGTTTAAACATCTGTCACCAGTTTGACGACCTCTCAATTATTCTCAGTAATGACAAAGCACTTGTACGGGTATGCTCTGTTATTTGACGTAGAATAATTCCACTGAAAGGCCAAAATCTATACACGCGCTTTAATTGGCTTCCATTCGACACACGCAAAAACAAACGTCCATCACATCAGAGGTGCGTGGAGATACAAACTAAATATCAGCATTGTGGTTAACCAGAAAAACATCCCAAATTCATATCTAGTTGAATTGTGAAACTAACGCACAGTCTAAAGGCACATAAATGATAATTAGTCGACCTTCATGTAAATATTCCGAGTTTTCACAACTAATATATCCTGCGTTTTCGGGCGGCCTACGTTTGCCACAGACTGATGAAGTTTTTTTATCACGAATTTCCATCAAAGACTGGACAGCGCATTGACGATATTCAGGTTTAATTAAGCTGTATCTTTTGGCTGATTAGTTTGCTAAGTGCAAGTGGTAGAGTTGAGGTCAGTGAATAATTACTCATACTCCTAATTTAAACCTAGAATGCAAACCTATTGGAAGTACAAATTAAAAATCTGGACTTACCGTGAATTACTGGGCTTGCATATTTTACAACCAAATTAAAACAGCAAACAATATTCCGCTTATTTTGCTTACTTTTATTCATCAAATTACACTTTTCGTAATTTACTGTTTTATTATGTTTATTCTCGTCTATATGACTTGATCAACAGAGAACGTTTGACGAAAGTCTTTTTAAATGTATGAGAGCTGAAAACATTTGAAGAGTTAGCGTCTTTGAAAAAGGGAGAGGTATTTTAGAATATCACCCAAATTACACTAAAGCGTAAAAATGCGCACAAATCTAATAACCTACGATTGAACCCCATCACTAAAATAATGCCCTAGACATCAAAAACATCTTATTTGAGACTGCTGATACTATATCCATTTGAAAATTGCTGGCAGTCTTCACTTATTATGTGCCGAGCTTTCGCATTCCTATCGAATAGCCACCGAGACGCGAGGGATGTCTCTATGTAAGTTCGTTCTGCGTGCTTTTGAGTAAAGTAACAGGATTTGTCATCTCGCTGTCACCCCAGTTGAGTATTGTTCCGTGTCATTATTTTCTAGTTGATGTAAATGTTGAAAAGGATTCCTTAATTTTCCGGTTGTTTCTCTTGTTTTTTTTGTTTTCGAGATGACGGGCTTGTGCATCACGGTAAGCAAAATTCAAATATCTATATGGAATACAATGCTTTCGGGGTGAAATGATTGTATGAAACTTTTTATTCGCCCATTCTTGTGTACAATCTTGAGGCTTCTATTTGTGGTGGCTTGGGGGTTTCAAATTTTCTAACTCACCTATTCTTAGGAAAGCTAAGGACAAAGAGTCTATTTCGCAAACTAATATTTCTTTCGTTCCATTTGCGGCATCAATATAACCACGATGAATTTTCTTCAATTCATTCCTGCCAATGCTTATGTCAACACTTCCACTGTTACTTTCGGATATTTAAGATATCGACCTGTTAAACCGCTTGTTAAACGCACTGTAAAGCGCATGAGTTTATCGATTGCTTGTGTTTCAATTCAGCGGTAAAAATTTGGGCGACCTGTGAGTTTATTGTGCCTGCTTTTGCAAAGTTTGATAGGCAATGGTTCGGCATGTTTTTGGGTGATTTGAAAAAAATAGCTTTCCCGTTTTCTCAAATAAATGCAATTATTTGTGCCCATCAGTGCAATTCTGTTGCGGTTATATTTACAGCAGCAGGAATTAAGCGGTCGGGTAGCCTAAGGCAAAGAAAATTCTCCCGGAGCACGTATTAGATAAGAGACGATTGGGTGGAATTTCGACGCACAAATATGCACCAAAAAATCGTCCTTACCGAGCCACTGCAGTGAAATGAACAATAACTGGGCAAAATACGGTCTGACTATAGGAGTCTAAATAATACATGTCTCACAGAAACCGTAAAGTAACATTCATACCCGCCAGAAGTCATTCCCTGCTAACAAATAATGCACGATTTCGGGAAAATTCTAGTTTCTTTATTGAACCTGCTTAAGATTGGCAAGATAAGACGCAGATTCTTTTCAAGAGGCGTCGAATTTTACGGAAACTATTC